GACTTAGACCACTCTCTCTCTTTCTCTCTCATGTGCATGCAAAGGGACCGACGAAGGTGCACCTAAGCTCAAGCTCATTCTAAGTCCGCTCTCTCTCTTCGCTCTTCTTTCTTCTCTCTTCTTCTTTTTCTCTCTTTTTTCTCTCTTCTCTTTCTCTCTCTCCCCTTGCTCGGACCTGGGGTGAGTCCGAGCCCTCACTCTCCCCCTCTCTCTTTCTCTCTCTCTCCCTCTCTCTCACTCAAGCCCGAACCTGTGCTTAAGCAGGCCTGGCTTTCCTCCCTCTCTTTTTTTTCTCTCTCCCATCTCTCTCCTCTCTTCTCCATCCACCCCTGTCCCTCTTTCTTCTCCACCCATCCCTCTCTCTCCCTCTTCTCCATCCGCCCCTCTCCCTCTTTTAGATCCGCCCCTCATTTCTATCTTCTCCACTCGTCCCTCACTCTCTCTCTTCCCCATCCACCCCGCTCCCTCTCTCTTCTCCATCCGCCCCCCTCTCTCTCTTCTCCATCTGCCCTTCTCTCTCTCTTCTCCATCCGCTCCTCTCCCTTCCTTTTCTCTATCTGCCCTCATTTATCTCTTCTCCACGCGTCCCTCTCTCTCCTTCTTCTCCATCCACCCCTCTCCCTCTCTCTTCTCCATTCACCCCTCTTTCTCCCTCTTCCCCATCCACCCCTTCCCTCTCTCTTCTCCATCCGCCCCTCTCTCTCTCTTCTCCACCCACCCCTCTCTCCTCTCTTCTCCATTCGCCCTTCTCATTCTCTCTTCTCCAGCTGCCCCTCATCTCTCTCTCTTCCATCCGCCCCTCATCTCTCTTCCTCCATTCGCCCCTCATCTCCGCTATCCACCCTACCCTCATCTCTACACTACCCCATCCGCCCCATATTCTTATATCAGCCCTATTCGCTCTGTACTTTCTCACCTCGTCTACTCTCTCATCCCCTTGTGAGATCGGGCATGCCTTAGGCAGGTCCATCATCCCCTGACTCCATTCATCAATTTTCTTTCATTTTTAAACATTTTTCTTCTCTCCCCGAGTCGTGTCTTGATCTTGTGTTTTTTTTATTTTATTTTATTTTATTTTCATCATTTCCTTATTTCTCTCTTTTCTCGTTGCTTCTTTCAACTCTCAAACACTCAATTCGGGGTTATGTTGAGATAGTGCTCTAATATTTTGACTCTTAGATTGCTACTCTAACCATCAGCTCGTATAATGTAGTCGAGTCATAAGAGATATTGATTCTCTTACACTCGGTCACTCGGGTTGGGGTCATCCTGAGTCAGTTTTTTTTTAGAGTTCTAACCCTTTCAGTACTCTAACCACCAAGTCACACATTGTACGGGTTGTGAGGAGCTTTCATCCCTCTCTCTTTCATTTTCTTCTATCCCTTGAAGATCACATTTAGGGGGCTCTTTGATTTAGTAATATAGTTATAGGCTCAATCCTGTAACTTCACTTTCCAAATCCTTTGGGTACCAAGACTTCAAACCTGGTGTTTTTCTTTGTCTCCTGTAATACCTCTTAGGAGAGGTTACTTCAGGAGGCTGCCCATTTTCCTTGGGGTCATCCCTTTATTTCTTTTACTTCTTTTATTCCATCTTCCTTTTCTTCTCACAACTCACTTTCATTCTCTTCTTTCTTCTCTTTCTTACCTATTGCTCTTACCACTCTACCCCCAAAACTAGAACCATGAGTCCATAACACATCAAAGAGGAGTTTATTATATTTGGATTTCATTAGCAGTTTTCAAGTGAGAGTCTAAGTGAGGTGTTGAGCTTAGAGAGGGAGTTGAATTCAAACCACGCTACTAGACAGATGGAGGGCTTTCGTTCATTGATCTAAAAGAACAATAGCCCGGGCTTATCCCACGAACTCAAACCACGGTGAGGTAGGTGCTCTAGTCCATATCTCCATCACTTTAAAATCCTTTCATAGTTGGACATACTTATCCGCACGTGACACACGAGCCACACACTCCATGTGTAGAGAGAAGTAATACAATGTTGAGAAGATATGACACTCCATTAAGAGTTATCAATTTGAGAATTGTATAGAAAAGGAGAAACACAATACTTGTGAAAGCATATTGATTTTTATTCGTAAGGAAGTGATGTATAGAGAGCCTTAGTGCAGCATAGAAATTCTAAAGATATGTGGAAAATCAAAATTGTAATTTTTGGAGTGATGACATGAAAAAGAGTCTTTTCATGGTATAAATAAGGGAGAATCAAAATTGTAATGTTTGTTTTATGAATATGTGTAGAGTATATGGACATTAGTTGATAAGTGTTAACAAGTTTTAAAGACCCAGTTTTTAAATACCTTGTGTTTTTTTTGCCTCCTTGTGCTTGTATGAACTACTTAAGATAGTAAAACACATAGAGATGTGGTTTGATCGAGGTCTATGGACATAGGTATCAAACACGAGAGATGGATATGGCTCATTTAAATATATGTAGCACGAATGGAGTATTTTGATGGAACTCAGTTTTAGTGCTCGTCCTCCCAAAAATGTTCAATGATATGGTGTGCTGCATGTAATGAGGACCTCATGTTAAGGTTTCCAAATTTTTTTAGGAAATATGTGTATTTTGAATTTCATCAGATTTTGATAACTGCCTTTTAGTCACATTTTATGTTGAATAAAATCATAAGATGGACTTTATGCTTTGTTTTTATGGCTATAACATGACTTGGTAAATAATTAAAGGTGTATGTGGTAAAATGATTTTTGAAGACTAAGCATGTTCTTTTGAAATAAGATTGGACCATTTATGTTGAAAAGGTTGGGTCTATGGATATGTTTTTGAGAAAACCTCATAGTCTTGCGAGGTCCACTAAGTCTTTATGAAAAATCATTCTAAACTACTATGCTACTTTGAACTATTGCTTGTGAAATATACCAAGTCAAGGAGTTTTGATAAAACAGAAAAACATTGAGCCTTGAAGGTATTTTATAAACTTAGGAGCAAGTAACTATGCATTGGTTATATATACTCATATGTCTTGACTCACGTTTTTATAAAACTATTTGTGTGACCTAATAGGCAGTTATTTAGAATCCTCCATTACCTAAGACCATAAACCATGGGAAATGTTAAAGGATGGCTATCTTGTTAGGCCTCCTCGACAGATGTGTGGATAGGATCACTTGGCTTGTAAGAATTTACAACCAAGACAATAGTGTGGTCGAACCTTTGTGGTTCAGAAAAGGTTTGCATATTGCGAAAGCAATAGCTATTGAGTTATTCTTGCATGATACTTGTTGTACTATCTCATAACATAGATACGAGCATGCTAAGAAAATACATTTTATATATGTTATGTTTGAGTGGGAGCTGCTACAATCCCACTATTGTTTTAGCTGCTTAGATATTAAGATATATAGGTTTTCTATTATGAAAGATTCAGATAGTTTAACATTCCAATGGGAGTATCGACTTGTGTTTGGCGGGCCGGTGAACAACACATTATAACGTTGGGTGAATGTTGTTCACTTATAGAACTTGGATATGTGGCGCTGGTAATATGACTACAGAAGGGAGCTACTTGATTAAAGACCACCCTTGAGCAGCTGAAGATATGATCCCATGCAATGAGGGTACGTGATAGTCTTCTACGACAACGATTTCACGAGTCGCAATGCAGCATAAAAAGATGGATTATGGCCACGTTTGGGATGTGATCCAAGCAGCAAAGAGAAAGAGACTTCAGAACTCTAAATATTAAAATACTGAAAATTTAGAAAAAGGTTATTATTTTATTTTTCTCTCTAAATATGAAAATATTGAATATTTAGTTTTTGACAATTCATAAATCCATTTTGAGAAAATAAAATATCCAAGGACTTCTAAAAATGCATTATATTAATCTAAAAATGATTCAAGGTCAAATTAATTAATTCTAAATTAATTTGGTGGGATGATGGGATTTGGATCCCACTATGTTAAAAAAATATTAATTATGCTAAATCACTCCATCTTCTACTATGAACTATAATACATATCCACTTTCTCAAACTGACCAAGCAGTTCTCATGACCTACAGACCGTTGCATGGGTTCATAATTGGGCTACCAAAGTCAGCCAATAAGTGAAGAGATACAATCCTAGCTTATGGATTATGAGTCCTCCTAGGGACAAGTCCAAGATCGCACAAACCTGTTCATATACAACTCTATGGTGAATATGGGGTATCTCTCACACATTTACAACCTTAACCCTTTATTTCAATAGAGTAAAGCCTATATTTAAGTAGATCGGTCGTACCAACATCATTGAAGTTTACCTCGTTTGCAAAGAAGGTGGTGACACACTCGGCTTTAGCCATCTTAGGAACCGAAACCAAAGACTTCCTCATATCAAGAGTATAAAGCTTTAGGACTGCAGTCTTCCAATCCTTCAATTCAATTTCATAATCCCCAACTCCAAACACTTCGGTCTCCCCCCATAAAGATGTGTTGTTCACCCAGTCCTACGGGTCTAAAATTGCGGAAGCTATCCTTGGTGTTTGACATGTGAGCCATAGTAGTCAAGACACCAAGATGTATCATTGGGGTCAACTAGCAAAGTCTGAAATATAACGCAAACATATTCCTTGTTTTCCTCAGGCTTCCTATTGAAATTACAATCTTTAGCAATATGACAAGCCTTTTTGCATATGTAGCATTGTCTATTCTCTCCCTTTCCCTTAAATTTATTTTGATGTTCTTTCTCTCCCTTTTTCTTTTCCTTAGTCATCTTCTTGTTATTGAACTTTCCCTTACCTTCATTAGACCTAAATAAGGATAAGAGTTTACCATATGCAATGCTTTGGGTGCTAGTACATTGCGATCATTCCTCCTCTCCTCCTTGGCTTTTAGCAAAGCGATAAGCTCCTCTAGCCTAAGAGCGGTCTCCCTAGCAACAAGGGAAGATATGAGTACCTCCCAAGAAGTAGGGAGAGTATTTAACAAGTGAACCAAATGCATGGGTTCAATAGGCCGCATCTCGATCACCTCCAATTCTCAGACTAGTGCTCTGAAGGTGTGCATGTGGTCAGCAATCTTTTCTCCTTTGGCCATCTTTAGATCGTTGTATTTTTTCATGGCCAAGGTTTTTCTCATGAGAGAAGGATCAACAAATTCCATCTCAAGTCGATCATGCATCCCCATGGTTTTAATCGCCTCATACTCAGATGCATACAAGTAATGTATAGACATGAGTATATTATGCTTTGGGAGCATATTTTTATGCTCCCACTCAACATATGCATCTCTTATAGCCTGAGGTGCATTTATTCTAGGCTGAGATGGTGAAGCCTCAATGAGAATATTATTCAAACCCTCCTCATAGAGCGAATAGCCTATCTTGCGCTTCCATGAGGCGTAGTTTGTGCCATCAAATATTACAGTCTTCAAAATCTCAGCAATAAAACTCTTTGTTGCCATGTATTCTTGTCCCAATTATATGAAAGGACAAAAAAAAAAAAACTAATGACAAGAAGATATCCTAGCTCTAGTACTAATGAAAGTTGGATAAGTGAAATAGCACGTTGTATGTAGTTTCAAATTTTCGTTTCTTAATTGGCTAAAACACTTACAAAAAGGTCCAAATAAAACAAAATAAACTCAAAAGAAATTAAGGTGAAACACAAAATGGATTATCACTTGTTGCCACTTAATACAACTCTTTTTTTTTTTCCTAGACATAAACCTGATTTGATAATAAGAAACACAAACTACATCAACAAAAATTAAAGTGCCAAAAGATTACCTCAATTGGACTTGATACACCCCATTAGGGTTTTCTCTCCGATGACACACGAGATCAAGGTGTTTCTCATATATTACAAGTATGGGAAGCCTAGGCTAGGAACTCTTAAATGGTAAGAGCAATGTAGAATAATGTAAAGCTACAAACTGTGTGTATAGGTCATGCCCCTCTAAGGTCTATGCTTGGGGTGTGCCCCCTCTTTCTTTCAAGGGAGATCGTAAGAGGAATTGGTGTGAGGCCCTTTGAGGGGGGAGGAGAGAGAGAGAGGGAGAGAGAGATCTAATTCTAGGTGTAGAGAATGGGACCCTCAAATGAGACTATTTATAGACTTATACTTAGGGTTAGGCTTTCTAGAGTTAGCCATCTTTATAGAGATTAGATCTAGACTATTGATCATATGAGACCTGTGAGGTAAGATATCTTAACCTTATAATTCATAGATAAACCATCAGGAGCATAAAGTATTTGGTTTCATTTCCAAATATAGCTAAGGCCAGGTTTGTCACCATCTTCTTTGCTAATAAGGTGACAATAAAAAACTATAGTGAAGTTGTTATGAATGGTCTTCTCAAAGACAAACTGTTACTATTGAAATATGTTTATACATCATCTCCCACTCATGAGAATGATGCTTTCCTATGACATACACGCTTAGGGTACATAAGTTACAAAAGAATAAAGAGTAAAGCGATTAAGAAAAGATAGCATTTTACAAACTACAAAGGGGATTTATCAAAAGTGTGTAAATCATGTGTGCAAAGAAAATTCATAAGGAAAAAGTTCACTGGGGCACAAAGAGCTTTTAGTGTTTTGGAAATCATCCATAGCGACATATGCGATCCCATGAATGTGGCAACCAAAAACCACATAAGATCTTTTATCACTTTTATCAATGGCCACTCGCGATAGTATGCACTCAAAATTCGAAGCCTTAGACCGTTTTAAAGAATACAAAGTCAAGTAAGAGAACCAAATAGATGATAGAGGCAGAGAATGCTCCCCGCATCTCTTTAGGGACGTCTGTAGAGCATGGTATTATTCATCACTACACCATACCTTCTACACTCAAGCAAAACAGAGTTCTCGAGAAACAGAATATGACAATGGTAGAGTGAGAAGTATAATGGGGCATGCAAAGCTCGCTCTTGACTTTCGACGAGAATCAATATTTACGGTAGGATATATCTGAAACCATGCACCCACCAAGGCTGCCCCTCTTATTCCTTATGACATATTCACTGGTCACACTCAATCCCTTGAGCACTTAAGAGCAGGGATTAAAAAATTGCCGGGTCGAGCCGAACTCTCCCGGTTCGACTCGGGAATCGCTACCAAATGCGTCGAATCGGCACAAAAAACGGGAATCACCCGTGTCCAGAGAGAAGCGAGCGATGCCCAATAGTAGACTCGCGATTCTGTCCGAGTCCCAGTAGTAGAATCGCGAGTCACCCGGAAGAACACGGTATGAACAGTGTTCTTCACGGGATTTCGATTATTTTTGTCTTTTTTTCATCGATTTCAACGTTTTCAGCCTTAGGAACGAATATTACAGGCTTTAATTCAAATTTGGAATCATTTTCACTCAATAAAAGGAATAAAAAACCACCGTTTTTTATCAAGAAATTTGGTTCACATAGTGAGTTTTAGGGTTTCCTCCATTTTCACGATTCAATCGAATTAAATCTTCATTTTTTGTAAAATTTCAGGCTGAGTGATTGTAAAAGTGTTGGCCACAATTTTGTGTTCATAATTTATGATTATCTTGGAGGAATATATATCAATTTTGAGTTTGAAGGCACGGATGCACGAAGAACAGGTAAAAACTCAGGTTTTTTTTTTGTTTTTTCCCCATGCGATCAAATCCAGTTAATATTTTAGAAATCATGTATTAAATTTATAGGGTTTTGATTCTTTGTAGCGTTGTTTATCATTAGATATATTCAATTTGATTATATTTATCCAATTTGAGTTGGATTTTATAGAAAATAAGAGTGATGTCTGTACACAAAACAGTGGACT